TGGTATTGAAAAACTAATGACATTCATCATTGATCAATATCATTAAATTGTACTTTTCTTGTAACTATAAAATTTCTAGTGGAAAAGAGTTACAAATAATTTTTATTCAGATGTAATCAATCCTGTGGAAAACAAATAATACTGTATATCACATTATACATTTATAAAATTTATGATTAATTTACCAATAAATTTATTTTTTAAAAAATAAAAGAGAAAATTGTTTTTTATTTAACATGGAACTAGAAAGAGGCAGTGACAAAGTGGGTAGGGTGCTAGGCTTGGAGTCATTGAGACCTGAGTTCAAATACCACCAAAGGCAGCTTTTAGTGGTGAGACTCTGGGACATGTCATTTTACTTCTTTATGGCTCACGTAACCCTCTTCCTACAAAGAAATCACAGATTCTTTCCATGTTTGCTATGTAATTAAGTACTGCATTGGAATGTCTGAATAAGGCTTCTAAAGTCAATTGTGAAATCATTCCATTATGTAAAATTTGAATAGCTCACTTTTTAAAATATGAATAATTGCCAAAGAAGGAAGAAAAAGGCCTCTATGTTCAAAAATATTTATAGTTACTCTTTTTGTGGTAGCAGAGAACTGGAAGTTATGGGAATGAACACAAATTAAATATAATGGAATACTACTGTGCCATAAGAAATGATGAAGGTAAAAAAGAGAGGTTGAACAGATTAGATGTAAAACATACACAACAACATAATATTTAATAAACCCAAAAAATTTAGTTACCGGGGGGAAGGACTCACTATTTGACAAAAACTGCTGAGAAAACTGGATAGCAATGTAGCAAAAAGTAGGTTTAGACCTATACCTCACACTATATGTCAAAATGAGATCCAAATGGACACACAACTTAGATACAGAAAGTCACATCATAAACAAATTAAGAGTGGCAAGGAAGAAATTACTTCTTTCAGATCTATGGATGGGTAAAGTTCATGACTAAACAAGTGATAGAGAGGAGTACCTGACACAGAGTAAGCACCACACAAATATTATTTATTATTATCACACGCAATAAAATGAAAAGTTTCAATTATGTAAAAGTTAAGTTTTTGCACAAAAATAATGTAACAAGAATTGGACCAAAACAGGTAATTGGTGAAAAAAATCTTTGAGATTCTCTGATAATGGTCTCATTTCTAAGATATAAAGGAACAGATTCAAATTTACAAGGCTAAGAACCACCCCAAAACATAAACAGACAAAACTCATGAACTCGCAATTTTCAAAGAAAGGAATCCTAGCCATCAGCAACCACTAAACACTCTAAGTTACTAAACATTAAAAAAAAGTAAAGAAACTTTGCTGTTCCACCTCAAAGCTATTAAATTGACAAAGATGACAAAAGAGGAAAATGACAATTGCTGGAAGGACTGTGGGAAAATGGGTATATTAGTGCACTACTGATGGAACTATGAATCTGTCCTTTTTACACCTCCAAAGAAATCAAAGAAAGAGGAAAATTATCTATATGTAAAAGAATATTTTATCATCTCTTGTAGTAGTCAAAAATTAAAAACAAAGGGGGTATGTATTAGGGAACTGCTAAATAAACTGTAGTGTATAATTGGAATATTATAGTGCAACAAAAATGATGAAATGGACCTTTTCAGAAGAAACTGGAGAACTTTTGAAGGTCTTTATGAACTGAAGAACAGCAAAGTATGAAGAATTAGAACAACATATACAAGGATAATAGCATTAAAGAGAGAAGCACCTTTAAAAATATTCAGAATTTTGATCAATGTAATGATATACCACAAGTCCAAAAAGAACAAAGATGAAACATACTACTTACATGAAAGAGAAGTGATGAACTTTAGATGAAGAGACAGACATCTTCAGACACAGCTAATGTGGTAATTTGTTTTGGCAGATTATCTAGATCTGTATTGAGGGATTTGTTTTGTTTTGTTTTTTTAATTTGCTCAATTGGGGTAGGAAGGGTATAGCAGGAGATACAGATTAATTAAAATGCTTGTTACTTGAGGAAAAAAAACTCAATTTTTTTTTCAAAAAATTTGACAAAAGGGAAAGTTTCAGAAGAAGCTAAGAAGACTTATATGAATTGATCTTGAGTGAAATAAGCAGAATCAGGAGAACAGTAATGATGTAAAGACAAATAACTTCAAAAGACTTGGCCCAGATCAACTCAACAACCAACCATGACACCACAGGACTAATAATCACTTATGCCACCCATTTCCTGACAGAGAAATGATGGACTTGGAGTGCAAACTGAGATATGTTTTTTGGACGTGGACTATTCAAGAACGTGTTTTGCTTAACTATGCATATTTATTACAAGGGTTCTCTTTTATTTTTATTTTTATCTAACGGAAAAAGAAGGGAGGTTTTGAAAAATGACAGATTTCTGTTAATTTTTTTTCAAAATGTTAAACTTAAAGGCAAAATCCTCATTTTTAGAGATTCCAATATCAACCTTCCTCCCAGCAAAAGAAATGTATACATTGTTTAGTGAAATACATTTAGATAGTACCTGCTTAGTAGGTACTGTTTCTGACATTTCAGAAAAAAGATTAGAAGTTCCAAAAAGGCCTTCATGAGTCTAGGCTACATGACAAGGGAACACCACATATGCCAACAAAAGTGAAAAAAAAACCTTAAACCACAAATCAAAAAAGTCAGAAAACAAGATACTACAGAGATAGTACCCCAGAAGAAAGTATAAAAAGAAAAATGTAGGATAGTCAAGAATAAGCTGTTCCCCTCCACAGACATTGTTTTAGCATTTGACTTCAAAAGTCCAGGAGATGGTCTCTTTGGAGAACCTGAACAAACATATTCTGTCTTCTCATCAGAACTGAGCTGCTGTATCCTCAAGGGTAAAACATACACTGTTGCACACAAAATATAACTAAAGACTTACGTGTCTACATCATCATATATGCTTGTTTTTCCATGCCAAGGAGAGGTTAGCATCTTGACAGTGCAAATATCTAAGATGGGAGTAAGTATTAATTCCACTCATACTGGTAGAAATGTACATGGCATCTAAACTACTATCACCTCCAAAATTACACACCTACTACTGTCACTAAAAACCTGATTAGGATGAGTTTATTACGGTAGTGTACAAAGCATATGATTTAGTCAATAGTATATAATGTGGTAAGCTTTGAAACACAGAACAGAATAGGCATTTAAATATTAAGCAAAAACTCAAATTGTCTTCTTAGCCTTTTTTCTCCCATCAACTAGATGTTTTGATCTTTAAGCATCCGAACTACACTTTAAAACTATTAAATCATGAACTTAGCGATTGTTCTTCTACTTGTAAAATATCATTTGTCATAGAGGTGGTTATCTTTAATTTTTAACTTTAACTTAACTTTAATCAATATTTTCTCATACTAGTTAAGAACAAGAAAAAAGGCACCTCAAAAAATGTTCAGTTTTACCACGTAGTCTGAATGCAAATGGAAGCATACTATTTGCTCTCCTTTTCTTCTGTTGTTTTATTTCTTCTTTCTCGTGGTTCCTCCCATTACTTCTAATTCTTCTACACATCATGACTAATGTGAAAATATGCTTAATATGAATGTATAAGTAGATCCTATATTAGATTACATGCCATCTTGGGGAAAAGGGAGGAAAGGGAGGGGGAGAAAATTTAAAGCTCAAAATCTTATGGAAATGAATGTTGAAAACTAAAAATTAAAAAATTCTTTTAAAAAATTTTTTAAATGTTAAGTTTACTAATAGTTATTTGGTATACCATGTTCTTCTATACAACTACACTAATTTGAAACAAACAGTTCCCTCCCCCCAAAAAAAAATTCTATTTTCTCTTACATACAAAGCGAATTGGGGGATCATCAAAACCATTCATTCTGCACTGTCTGGGGGTGTGAGACAAATGTTCTGGGCTGGGCCTGACTCAGGCCAGTACTCTGGTGGCTGAGATTAAATACTGGGGAAAAAAATCAGAAATCTAAAGAACATTCAGCAATTAACAAAAGGAGTTTTTTAGCTCTAGAATTCTATGAGCTTTGAAAAATATATCAAAATTTTTAAGATTCTCATTTCATAAACCTTTAAAAGGAACCTGGGAAATAGCGATTATTCTTCTCTAGTCTAAAGTGAGCTAGTGAAATAAACTAAAGAAACTATTTCAACACAGGAAAGAAATTTTAGAAACCTAGATTTCATAGTGCAAGAACACTGATGTTATGTATCAATCATAATCCAACTTAACATATATTACATGAATTTTAAAAAAAAGGATAAAAACCAGCACTGGCACTGTTACTACTATATAACCCACTCTTCCATTCAGGAAGATAGCAGTTACTCCTCATTTGTAGTTTAAGCAGAGGTCCTAGTTCTAGATGACTTATCTTAGTAGTTTCTAAAACATCCTAGTTGTGTTAACAAGCACAATAAATGCACAGAGACCAAAGTCAAGGAAATCATAAAAACAGCCCTCAAAAGGCCTCTACTAACATTCACTGAAATAATATATTTGTGGGGGAGGATGGGAGTTGCATAAATGTCTTAGAAGTTAATTAGAATTGATACAAAAATAAAGGTAAATATAACATTTTTTTAATATAAAATAGCCTCAACAGAAAGCTGGCTAAAGGAACAGAAAGGGAAGAGAAACAAAAAAGAAGTAACAGAGAATGACCTAAAGATGATAAAGACATACCGAGCTGGTACATGCTAAGGAAAAACACATGGTACTTCAACACTGTTAAAACTAAAAGTCTTCATCCTATACAATGATATGCACAATGGTAAATAAATTTAACTTGCTTAAAAAGGACAACTAGATAATGCTTTTACATTCTTTAAAAATAATTTTTTTTAATTTCATGAACTTTTTCCTTAAATTAATCTGCAAATGAAAATTCATTTATCTGCCTTTGGCAATATGACTTGGCAATATGACTCAGCACTATCTTTAACTATGACTACCATGTTAATTGTAGTTTCTTATAATCAACTTACACTACAGTTTTCAGGTGGAACAAGGAGTTGAGTAATCTCTCCACCATGCACACAGAAGATATGTTTCATTTCTCCAGAAAATATGTCCCAGATTATGACAGAGAAATCCACTCCTCCAGAGATCAAGTATCTTTGGTCATAACGAGCTGAGACCTGATGAGGATATAGTAAACATGTAATTTTGTTCCGATGACCCCGAAGAGTTCTGTGAGGTGGCCAACCTGCAAATGAGATTTTGTTTTTAAAATGAGGTAGATTCAAGTCTTAAAGTTTTTCAACAAAAAGTAACATGCATTAATTTATTTACACACACAAAATAATCCTAGTTTAAACTTACAAAGGATTATTATACCATAATTCATACTTTTTAAATTTAAATAACCCCAAAAAATTAAGTGGTAGATTCTACATATATTAATCTAAAATTCTTCACCCATTGCTCTTTTGTTGCACTAACTCAAACACTGATCAAATTAACAGAAACAAAAATAATTATTAAGTCAAGTCCAGTCAGCAAGATTTATTAAGCAGCTATGATGTGCCAGGGGACACAAAGGCAAAAACAGCCCCTGCTCTCAAGGAGTTCAAAGTCTAATGGGAGAGACAACAGGCAAATAATTATGTACAAACATACTAAGGATAAATTAGAGATAATTTCAGGGAAAAGACACCAGTATTAAAGGAGGTGGGAAAATGCTCCTTGTAGAAGGCAGGATTTTAACTGAGACTTAAGGAAATCAAGAGGCAGAGATAAGGAGGAGAGAATTCCAGACATGAGGGACAGCCAACGAAAATGCAGAATCAAAAAATGCAGTGTTTTGTGTAAGAAATGACAGGGAGACTGTTGTCTCCTGGCCCACAGAGGAAATGGGGAACAGTAAAATATAAGAAGTCTGGAAAGGTAGGAAGGAGGGCAGGCTATGAAGAATTTTAAAAGCCAAACTAAGGATTTTATATTTGATACCAGAAATAATAGGGAGCTAGTAGAGTTTATTAAATGAGAGTTCACATGGTCAGACCTGGGCTTTAAGATCAATTTGACAGAGGAGTGGAAGATAGACTGCATCAGGAAGACACTGAGACAGAGAGACCAACCAGAAGTCTACTATAATGCTCCAGGCATGAGACAACAAAGTCAAGTCAGATATTTAACATTTTATAAATATCAACAGGACACAAAGCTTCACATTATGTCAACATATGTTTGTTTGTTTGTTTGTTTGTTTTTAAAGAAGTATCTCTAATAATTCTTCTCAAAATATAAGATTGTAAAACTTTACTTCAGTACCTCTCCGGAGCATGTGTTCCCCCTGTAGTAGCTGGACTATAGCAGTTTGTGTTGCCGGCACAATAATTATGCTTCCATCTTCACGACCACAAACTAGTCGTCCATGGGATGGAATGTACACACTTGCTGTAACTTTCAAAGGTTCGTTGCTATTAGGAACCAAACTTAGTTGATCTATAATTCCAGCAGGACAAGGAGTGAGTTTACCAAAGGCCTCTTGTAAACAAATTGAAGTTGTCATTTCCAATCCTTCAGGTGTTTTGTTTAAAAATAATAAAAAGAAGAAAAAAGACAGTATTTGAACATATAAAATATATTTTTAAAAATACTTATTTGTGTATCTTATTAGCTGAACTGCCACTACCTTCTGCAGCTTCCTGTTTTTCAAGTGTGTCTGGTACATTCCAAATACACAATCTTCCTGAAGAGTCTCCTTGAATAAGTAGTTTATGGAAGCAATCCCTACGTCCATAAAAAAATCGAGTAACAGGAGGGCAGATAAACAACTGTGGGGAAAAAAAATACATATTCATTCAGATTTTTCAGCTATATGTTTAATGCGTAATAAGGAAACTTAAAACATTAGCCACATATGCTTAGGATGCAGATATTAATTATTTTTCTTTAGAGCCAGGAATACAAAATATATTATCACTCTAAATCTTAAAAATGACATTTATATAAAGTTTTAAAGGTTTGAAAAGTAATCACTTCATAAAAAACCCTGTAAGACAAGTAGTGCAAAAATAACAAAAAGGCACTATTAGACAACTCTGCCATAATATCTAAAATTGTGTAATGATATTTAAATTAAGAATAAAATTCACTTTCTATGAGTCATAAAATTTCTGAAGCAAAGTGGACAGCTATTAGTCAGTTAAAACTCACTATTATTAAATCATGTATACTGATTTTTCACAAGAGTTCTTGACTCAAGACTATATTAATAATAAAAAAAAAACACCTCTCCATTTTAAAATAATCACTGTGAGGTAGGCATAAAATTTTAAGACGGGGCCCATGATTTCATTGATGTAGGCAATTCCCAGATAAGCAATTCCTTCTGTCAAAGCAGGTTAGTACTTTAACTGCAACGTACAAGGGTTACCTAGAGAACTGAGAGGTTAAATGCCTTGCTCAGGAGCACATAAACGTCATACATTAGAGGCAGCATTTGAACCAAGGTTTCCCAAGCTCCAAGGCCAGCTCTCTCTCTCCACTATACTATGATCTTTCTTATAAGAGATTTGGTACAATACTCTAACTATAAAGATAAGAGAACTGTGTACCAGAGGACTTAATCTACTTGCTCAGTGATTAGTCACAATTTAAACCCAAATGGCAATCCCAAATAGACATTACTTCCACACTCCATATGAATGTATATCAATAATAGTTTAACAATTAGATTTTCACAGACATATATTCTATGCCACTGTAAAAATTTTGTTATATTAAGTATCATATATTATGCACATATATACACATGAAATATTGAACTTGGGCTAACATTTGTAAAATTAACAATTAACAACAAACTCATTGGCTAGGATTTTGTTTGTAGTTTCAATAGATAGACAATTGTTCAGTCTTATCAAAAAAAAATGATAAGGTTAGACTCCTGCTAGAAAATGAGATGTTACTTCACAAAATCTTTGAAAAGTCAAACACATCATTTCTTAATTAAATGTGGTATATGTCAAACACATACTAAGTACAAATTTTTGTGATAAGCACCAAAGGAAATATGAAGACTAAATAAGTAATTTTCCCTTTCCTTCTGGACTTTATAATTGAATAATCAATAAACCAAAAAAAACTGCTTCAACAAAAAATTATTAAAACTGATATGAAAACATAACTTAATTAAGTGAAGTTGATGGTAGTTGTTCCCTGAATCTGAACCGAACCAACTTTTTTTTTTTACTTGAAATCTAAAAGTCCCTAACACTTTACCATGTTACAGAAATGTAATTAAGACAGCCATAACTTCAGGCATCAAAAAGTCATTCAACAAAGTACTGTTTACTACAATATAAAAGTAACTCACTTTATGCCAATAAATGCCTTAAAAAGTAGGCCTAAATGAAATTTAACATGCCTGGTAGGATGGGGAAAAGCAGTTGGCTATTTAAAGATACCTGGGGTAATCATTTTGTCACACAGATAATAGCCTTCTAATTTAACTAGAGATGAGAATTCAAGTCAGGGAAAGGTGGCAAATTAAGTTGGCTAAATATATTAAGGCCATTTTATAATGGAGGATCTTGATTACTTATGGTTAAACAAATTTTCTTTCCCAAAGTACTTATGAAAATATTTTCTACCTCACCACCACAGTGAAAAATACAGGATGGAATTTTCACAAAAAATTGGACAAATAGTATTCTTACACTTTTTTTTTAGGTTGCATCATTTAGTTTAAAGAGTACAGTATTAGAGCTTAATATTTAATAAATTTTGGTTATAATGAAAGCTTTTCAATTAAAACAAATTTTGATTCATGTTTTTAAGATACAGTCCTGAAAAACTCTGAGAGGATTCTTTTAAATGATAAATCATTATATTAGACAGGATTATCCTTCTAAATCTTTCACTATTCCTAAAATCCCATGCTAAATAATGTAAATTAGCTTTAATATTACTTTCATCCAAAATCAGTTTGAATGTATAGGCAACATCCATAATTCCCTAAAGATCTTTGGAAAATGATAAATGTACTACTGTATATATTACTATGGATACAAAGAGACTAGGCAACTTTAGGGCCTGTGGAACATGGAGACATGGAGAAGCCTAAATGGGAATATTTAAGCCTTTTCAATGGTGTGAAGCCCCGTGGATGTAGTTAGAAGGAAGTTGAATAAATGACAATGAAATTTAATCCTTCCCACAGCAAATTTGTCAGGAAGGGGAAATGAAAGCAGAACTTGTAGGAAGAAAATCATATGGTGCCCAGGTATGTACCCAGGAGGAAATTATTATCAGAGACTGTAATATGATGAAGATGATGATTTTCAGGAGAATATAAGGAGTGGCAGAGAAGAAAACATCAACTAGTCATTCTGCATCCCCTTTGTCTAAGTCTGTGCTTCTTGGCCCTGCCTACTCAGTGTCTCAACTTTATTTCAAAGCTTTACTTTAAAGCTCTATTCACATGATTGAAACTCAGTACAATATTTACCTTTATGAGTATCGTTGCTTTATATTACAATGTGACCTGAATTAATAAATGTTTCATTCAACATGTCATGTGTCCAAAGTAAAGTATCTATAGCAGTCGCAGGTCACATGATTAGGCAGAACAACTGAACTGGCAGAAAAATGCCATGGTAACAAGCTAGAGAAAGTTACCCATGGAGTAATGCCAATGCTTTAAGGCAAAGGACACATAGGATTTGTTCTCAAGTAAAATGGAAGTCAGAGAGAAGATAGGGGCAGAGGGGCGGGGGGGAGCTCCCCCAAAGAGCTGACCCAGTGGAGTCCTATTTTACAGCTTTGGTTAGAGAGTGCAACAACTCATAAACATATATAACATAATGAATGTGCCAAGCACTGTGTATAGTGCTGGGGATATACCGAAAAACAAAAACAATGTCTCCGTTCTCAAAAGAGTTACATTCTAATGGGAAGACAACATATAAAAAATTACATATAATAGATATAAGTTGTGAAAATGGAAAGCAACCTAAGCGGGAAGGTACTAGGGGTTGGGGAGGTAGAGACAAACTCAGGAAGGCTTCCCACAGAAGGTGAAATCTGAGCTAAGTCTTAAAGGAAGCCAGAAGGTGAAGGTGAAGATAGAGGCCATTCAAGGCATGGAAGACAGTGAAAAGGCATAGAATCAGAAGTTGGAGTATCATGTTCAAGGAATAGCAAGAAGGCTAATTAGTCAATCAGGAAATCCAATAATGAGCATATTATGATGGACAGGAGATATTATGAATAAAGCTTTCCCAAAACATAGGTAAATATAATCATTAAAACTAGATTTTACAGAACTTTATGCTGACTTATAATGAACAACTCATTGTGCTGGGCTAATAAAGAACATAAATTTACATAAAATAATTTGTTTAATATAGCTGCTTCAGTGAATTTTTATATGGCCACAGTGCTCAGAATGCATCTCACCTCTTTATCCTCTCTATCCAAGAGACCGTACTGTAAAGGAGGAATTAAATTTTCAACAGCCTTTCCAACATCACTGCGGAATGAACCACTAGCAGGTAGACAACTGAGAATCAGAGAAAACACTATTTTCAATGACAATTCATACTTTAAAACTTGTTTCCATCACATAATTCCATTCTACAAGGGTTTTTTCTACTGTTAAAATTCCTATTTTCATAACTTAATTGTAAATGTTAAAGTATTACATTGCTTAATTATAAAATATCAAAGGTAATTTAATGTATCCTACTTCAACAAAAAAAATCTTAATGTCCCTTCTGATATTTCTAATTGTGAGTTAAACTGAAACTTTATATTTTAATCTTCAAAATTATGCTTTAAACCTATACCACAATTTTAACCATATACTATATTTTACAATAGTTAACTATATACTGCTTTAATTTTTCACTGCAAAAGGCAGTAAATTTCTTGACATTTGAAAATGAAAGTATTTAGTCTTCATCTACATTTCATGGTAATTCTAATGCCTAAACTTTTTCTTGTATTGTGACTTATTATTTATTGAGTTACCTGGCAGGTAGTTTGTAAATATAACTTTGTCCATTTTCTGTCCATATAATAACTTTATCTGCTGATATGAAGTCACCTCCTGTCCACGTTTGTCCATTTTCGCTGGGGCCAGAACATAACAGGGAATAATCTCCAGCATCAAATACCTACACAAAACCAGAGACAAACTCAAAATTCTAAATTCATGCTATAATCTAAATCAAAACAGTGACATCTCAGTTAAATCCTCTAGGAGCAAAGCTCCTCAAAGTCAACCAGAAATAGATGAGATAAAGTTCATGTCTCCTCAGCAATAATTAGTGGCAACAACAACTGAGTAAGAAGAGGCAGAAACACTAATCAAGAGTACTTAACAGCTGTATCCTACCAGCTTGTCATAGACAAGCAAAGATCGGAGTTCAGCCGAAAAAACCAAAGATCTTACAGTAGTACAGAGTTTGTTCATCTGGAAACATGAGACGTACTGCCCAAAGTGTGTGTGGCCTCTGGATCAACAAACAGATGAAACCATCCAGGAGAAAGGTAAGGTTGACCTTAATGAAATCTAAAAAGGCTGGAAACATCCAGCTTGTCTCACCCAATGATTTGTTTATATCACAACTATGCAGTTAACATAACTGTACAGTTGAATTTAATAAGGATAAATGTAAAGTCTTACATTTATATTGAAGAAATCAACCTCATAAGTACAAAATGGCAAAGCATCACTAGGCAGCAGGTTATCTCAGAAAAGAGCTGAGGCTATTAGTGGACTGAAAGCTGGACACAATTCAAAAGTATATAGGAGTCAAAAAATAAAAAATAAAAAAAAATAAAATAGCCCTAAGATACCAAGCTGCATTAAGTACAGTATCCAAATAAAAATTCTGCCCAGGTCAGACCACTTCTGGAGTCTTTTGTCAGGTTCTGGGTAATTTTAGAAAGAACACTAATGTGCCAAAAAAAAAGTTTAATGGTGAAGGATATCAGGTCCACGCCATATCAATATCAATGAAGGAACTAAGTGTGTTTACCCTGAAGGGAAAGGCCTGGAAACACATGACAACTGTCTTCAAGTGTTGGAAAGGAGATCATTTTCAAAAGAGATTGAACTGGTTGTATTTGTCCAGAGATAAAATAAGGAACAAGGCATGGAAGTTGCAAAGACACATTTTTAGGCTTGATATCAGAGGGGGAAACTGCCTAAGATTTAGAGTTATCCCAAGGCAGAACGAGCTGCTTCAATAGGCAGTGGGTTCCCCATGTACTGGAGGTCTTTGTGCAGAGAATCAATGACCATTTGCTGGGTATGTTGTAGAGGGAATTCTCTTTTAGGTCCAAGAATGGCCACTGAAGCCCCTTCCTACTCAAATTCTGGAGTTCTAGAATTCATCTGAAGACAACTAATCAAAGAGTTCAAGCTACAAACTGGCTGCAACTCTCCTTTGCAAACTTATTTCATAAAGCTCTCCTTTACACTATTTTCCAGATAAATTACACTATCAAAGGTTACAACATTTTAAGAGACACACATGTGAAAATAGACAAGGGCTCAGAAGGTGGCCTCACACCCAAAATTCCTCAGGGACAAATAAAACTCAGGAGAATATAAGATATGCAAGGGAAAAGACAGCAAGAAACAAAAGACCTGAACAGCATACATTTCTACCACAAATAAAGTATCATTTGGCTCTTATTCCTCCCTCCTTCCAAAGATATTCATCTCCTCTGTCCGGTTCCTACTATACAACAGAAACAGATGAGTCCACAGCACCAGCTAAGTAAGTCCTAATTCTCCCTGCTTTGATCTGCTAGCCTCAGGATTTCAAGTAGAGTGGATTCATTCAGGCAAAAGGCAGCATATTTTGTCTTCTCATCCAACCTTAGTTCAATTTCCCTTCATTCCTTAGAGTGGTAACAACTACACTCCATTTTGTGATTTCAATATGCTGTTTTCCAACTCCATGAATATTGTCCTCTATGCCTGAAAATGCCATTCTACTCATTTCTGCCTACAGAAATCCTCCCCTACCTTCCAGGCCTAGTTCAAGTGTCAGCTCCTCAACAAGGCCTTCTTCATTCCCATACCCAGAAGTGATCCCTCATCCACCTCAAATGACTCATGTCACTCTATTTGATATCTCCTATTCACTTATACTCTAAGCAGGACTGCAATTATTTGTATACCTTTTTTTATTCTCCCTTCCCCATTATATGAGCTCCTTGCATAAGAAACGATCTTTTTTGAATTTGCCCTAAAAAGAATACAGAGCTCCACAGAGCACCATCACAAATATTTCCTCCAAAGGGGAAGATTTGCTACAAAAAAACAAGGAATATAAATTCAGACATGAGTACTAAAAGATTAAAATGGTCTTTTTCAGAGTTATTCCTTAGGGGCAGCTAAGTGGTGCAGCGGATAAGAGCACCAGCCCTGGAGTCAGGAGAGCCTGAGTTTAAATGTAGTCTCAGACCAGACACTTGACACTTACTAGCTGTGTGACCCTGAACAGGTCATTTAACCCCAACTGCCTCACAAAAAAAAAACCAGTTATTCCTTAAGTTTAGCACTAAATGTCTAACAAAATCTACATCATAAAATAGGAAAAACCAGCTTTTTTACGTAACTGGGTAACCTTACCCTCCAATATTTGGAACACACAACCAAAAGTGACCTTTGGGTAAATGCACAGAAAGAAATGCTTTGGCAATTCTGACAATAAATTGGTTTGGATTCTTCTTCAAATATTGGCTCAGTATCCTGAAAGATATAAAAATAACTTGGTTACCCATGAAAACAATCACACAACCAAATAAAATGGAGTGAAAATGGAATTTGCTATGTTCAGCAACTCAATAGCAAAGAAAGAACAAAAACTACATTCCAAATAGCACAGTCACAAAAGTTAAAGATATTAAGAACTGAAAGAGTAGTGAAATAATGTAAAAAAGTCATACTAGTGATGAAGAGAGGCAGAATCAAATTTATTAACTGCCTCTTATGCAACATACACTATAGATGCTAAGGACACAGAAACAAAAAAAAATGAGTGAGTTCTAATTCTTACCAAGCTATTATGCAAACTCAGAAACACCAGTTTAGTGTTATCTTTATTTTGTTTTCCTTTTTAATTAAGTCAAATTCCTTTGCTAGAAAGACTAGCACGAGTACTGACAGGGCACAGATTTGTCCTGCCCACTAACAGAAAGCAAATATGCTGAGGCAAATGACCAGAAACACCTGTGTTTAGTTTCTGTTATTTCTTCCCTCAAGTATGTTACCATCTTAGAAGTTACTCAGTTTACTCAGAAGTAAAAACAAACTATTTCCTCCCACAATGCACTTCTCTATCTCATATTTCAAGAAAGTTCAGCATTCCTTAAAAGAAAATTTTAAAATTTACTTATATAATCATTAGGGCATCATTCATTCTAAAATATTCAAGAGATTATAGAAAATTAAGCAGGCAACCATAATAAATACCAAAAACAGAGGCCCAAAATATTACTACGAAGAATTAAGGACAGTAAGAAAAAGCAATAATGAGAAAATTGAAGAGATCAATCACCAATCTTACCTGGGTATCACTAACTTCAGATGTAACAATCCAAACTTTCAAGATTCCTGTTACTGAAACTGCCACAACAGTATCCTCTAAATAGGAAACAAAAGGATACAACTATAGTGCATTTTCTCCAATATCAATATTTTTTAATCATAATACAGTCATGACGTTTAACTAACTGCTTTTTTTCTACTGGCCAATGAGATTCCATACAACTAAGGGAAATGAACTGTTCCTTTACTGATATTCTGAACCTAACAAATATATACTAACCTAAAGTCATTGCCAGTGATGAATAACATTCTACGCAAAGCTCCAAACAAAAGACCCTGTTTAAGATGTTCTCCAAATGCTTCAATTCACTCAGGACACTGTACAAACTACATCACACCCCCAAGAACTACAAATCTTTTCAGCTTGATAAATAACAATGAAAAAGATTATTTTGTGAGTGTGAAAGGGACTGGACCTGTAACTTCACTGGTACAGTGAACCCCTGGATAAGCAAACTCCTTTTATCAATGGAGGTCATCATTTTCTCTACAACTTAAGAGCTTTGGAGAATTACTTAGCGCACTGAGAGGTAAAGTGATTTCAGGTCACCCAGCCAATATGATTCAAAGGTGGGATTGAACCCTGGTCTTCCTGGCTTTGAGACCAACTCTCTATCCATTCTGCCACGGCTGTCTCTCTCTTGTATCTGGATAGGTAAGCCAAAAGGAAAAGAAAAACACATTATTGAAACTATATCATGCAGCTGTCCAAGCAGCTCATTGAATGAATTCATCTTAAACAGGTAAGCTGAGTCAAAGTCAGAAAACACCAAAGCAGAATCATGGGAATTTTGGCCTTTATACAGCAACTGCTTTCAATACTCCAGGATCTGATTTGGGTAAATGCAGATTCTCCCTCTAGAACACAACCCTTCAAAAAGTTAATGATGAGGATGAGGTTGATAATAATAATAATAATGAGACTTGAGAGTGATAAGGTTGGCAAAGTCCTTTGTACAAACACATGATCTTCATGAATTGCTATGGCCAAAAGAAGCTCATTAACTTATAGTCAACTTGGTAATGAGTCCCTACAAAGTCAACCAGCCAACAGCCATTTACTAGGCCACAAGCCCCCACAAAGAAACAAGACAGTGAAGCACTAGGGAAAAGGAGGTTTAAAAAGCTAGTGGGGAACACCCTTAGGAATAAATATTACTGCATTCATCAGACACATCTAATCACTGAGCATTCCCTCTAGATATTTCTGCTTCTTTTCCTCACTGTGAACAGCAATAACCCTTTGCTCTGAAAATAAAAGTTAAAATTTTTCTATGAATACAGTCCCAGCTTAAACAATGAGAGCATACCTTTTCCGTGTAACTTTGCTGGTAACAACTTAACATACACTAAATCCACCCTACTTTAAAACCTCCAAACCAGACTCCAAGAATATATAAATGGACCAGTTAGAAATATTGTCATTCCTCCCAAATTCCAAGGGGCATGGGAAAGAGATTCCTCCCCTCACCTTGGAAAGCCAAGGAGGCCAGAATCAGTACATGGACAATATTTAACAATTATCTTCCATAGGATAGGATTCAATATGTAAGTTAACTGGGAAACTGAAAGGGATTATTTGGATTACTGGCAGTAATGTTCAGTTTCGAAATGCAAGAAAATCATGGAAATGGTTATAAATGTAGAAGTAAAAGAAAGTACCAGTCTCTGCAATGAAACTTGCTGAAAGGAATAATTGTTTGAACTTCCCTTTTTAAAAATTTTTTTAAAGTACACTAACCTTGTGTTCGGTGGGATCGAATGATACTCATAGAGCTAATCCAGTCAGGAGATATCTTTGACACTAAGGAGTAAAGAACCTCAAGGCTGGTGGCGTCCACAACCAGAATTTCAGGGTAATGTCCATGGCACAGCAGTCTCCCTTCACGTTGATTCCCAACAAAGAACTGGTAGAACTAGTTTTATATTAAAAGAACATTATCTGTGACAAATTTGATCTCCACTTAATATTTAAACTTATCAAATGCTTAGTTATATGGTCCTCTCAGCAAAAATCCAATTGCTTCCCTAAATGTGAGTTATTATTGAGTCTTACTAGAAGGGAGCTCAGAGGCTATCTAATTCAATCCTTTCACTTAACAGATGAGAAAACTGAGTCCTAGGGAGACTAAGGGTAATGTCAGAGGCAGGAATTGAACACAGGCCTTCTGACTCCAGAGTCAGTGCTCTTTCCAATATGCCATGTCTCTCTAAAAGAAAATTCTAATTTGTTCAGTGCTTAAGATTGATAACTTGTGCCCACAAATATAGTATTACATCAAGGTATCTATTAAGTATTATTCTTTCTTTAATATTCAGTATCAGAACATTTAAATGACATTAAAAATACAGTACAACAAGGACAATGTTCTCAGATATATAAACATATTCTAGGGGTAATAAATCTAAGATTCTATTATAATAAATAATGAAGAAATGTCCTAAGCCTTTATCCACCCACACACACACACACATTTGGTGGACAAAGTTGAAACTAGGTAAAAATGTTCATTTCCTTCAAATGTTAGAAAAAAATTAATAAAGGGAAGCATTTGGATTATTAACAGTAATGTTCGCCTTCTAAGTAAAAGGAAATTATGGCCTATAGTCTTAAGATCATATCTACTTCTCTATAAAATATTGCTGCGTCATGAAAGAAAAAAATATTTTAAAGGACAGAGGCACACTCTATAGGAAGGAGTTACACTATAGTCAAAGACCCAATACATTACAACTCTGGTCCCTGCACTGCAAATTTTTCCTTTTCTTACTATTTTTGGGAGAAAATCAGGTGGGAAAAGTTGCATCAGGCACTGAAAGTTTAAACGACTTGCCAAAGACCAAACAGCCAGTATATTTCAGAGATAAGATGTGAACCCGGGTCTTTCTGACTCCAAGACTTGCCCTCTGAAAATTCTGTATTCTAAAGAATTACATTTTTCTGCATCTTAATTTTTCTACCTCTCAGAAGTTAGTGTCCTAACCTTCTATAATCTTTCTAATTCCCCTGTATATTAGTACAGCACACACATAGTGAGAAAACTGAAGAACAGTCTGACTACAGAGTAAGAAACAATACCAGGAATGTAACTCAGGACTTTTTTCATTCATTCATCTATTCATTAAACAAGTACTAATTAAGTATGTGTTACAGGCAAAGAATTGTATTAAATACAGAAAGGACAGATGTCATGATAAATAAAATGTCTCTGCCTCTAAATAGTTTACAAAATAGGAAGATGTGATATGAACAAAAATTACTTTAAAGTAAAATAGATTATAAGACTTTAAGAGAGGTAAAAAGCACCCTGGAAGCCGAGGGAGAGAGGAATCAGCAATGACTTTCAAGTTTAGCAGTTTTAGGGAAGGCTTTTAAGGAGGAAACAGCACTTAAACCATTTTAGCACATCTGTGCTTGCAACCTGACAAATTAAAGAATTAAAATACTAACCTGTATGCCAGTATGTGTGCAAGCTAATTTCGTAAACTCAATACATCTGCCATCACTTACATCCCAAAGGCACATTTCTCTGTAAAATATAAAATACAAAATAAATAAAAACAATAAGATCCATTGTGGCCAACTATTTCACTAGTGAGCTCTATAAAATCATATGAATGAAAACATTCCTTCTGCCATTTAGTCTATCTGTCCCAAGGTTTTGCATTCTGTTACGTCTTTTTCTTTTTTTTTCAGATTCATCTTCTGTCAAGTTTTTCATGAGTTTCTTTCCAGATGAGCCTAAATCATTATTTCTAATTAAAAATTACTAACAAGAAAATTTAATTATATATTTAAAAGAACTGAGGGTTACCCAACTCTGTCCCACTCATACAAATATGCATGCCCTCAAAACTAACAAATTCCATGAAAGAAACTAGCTATTTTTATATTTATGCTTATATTTCATATATTTATTGCCTCAAATCTATAACAGAAATTTTAGAGTTTAACTGAACCATAATGACTTTGTTATATAAAAATAAGAGTCAAGCCTTACATGATACCTTTATATTGAATATATGTATATAAAATTTATGCATAAGCACAGCTTCAAAACTCAGCATTGAAAAAAATATAGCCATGAAACAGTCAATTGAAATGCATTCCACAGGACTGTTACAAATTAAATACAATATTTCACCTCTAATTCTATTTCTAGTTCTATTTCTTTTGAAGAAATGCATTCCATGGAGGCAGCTAGGTGTCGCAGTGGATAGAGTACCAGCCCTGGACTCAGGAGAAGCTGAGTTCAAAATGGACCTCAGACATATAACATTTACTAGCTGTATGACCCTGGGCAAGTCACTTAAGCCCACTGCGAAAGAAAGAAAGAAAGAAAGAAAGAAAGAAAGAAAGAAAGAAAGAAAGAAAGAAAGAAAGAAAGAAAGAAAGAAAGAAAGAAAGAAAGAAAGAAAGAAAGAAAGAAGAAAAGAAGAAAGAAAGAAGAAAGAAAGAAAGAAAGAAAGAAGGAAGGAAGGAAGGAAGGAAAAGGAAGGAAGGAAGGAAGGAAGGAAGGAAGGAAGGAAGGAAGGAAGAAGGAAGGAGGAAGAAAGAAGGGAGGGAAGGAGGGAGGGAGGGAGGGAGGAAGGAAGGAAGGAAGGAAGGAAGGAAGGAAGGAAGGAAGGAAGGAAGGAAGGAAGGAAGGAAGGAAGGAAGGAAGATAAATGCCTTCCAAAAAGATACTATCTTAAATGAAAACAAGACAAAATAGGAGCTGGAAAATGCATTATTCTGAAAATACTTACAGAAAGAAAATTCAAATTTACCTTGAGAAAAACTTATTAATACAAATAAATGCCTTTTTTGAGTAAAATATATATTACTGACCTTAACACCCACTAAGGATTACATCAAAAAATGAAAATTATAGACCAACTTCCTTAATGAATAGAAAAAAAATGCTAACAAAAATATTTAGAATACATTTTTTAATATTCTTCATGATAAAATTAGAATTTATACTAGGCAGAAAAGGCTGGTTCAATTTTTCAATAGAAAAAACTATTAACATAAAACCTCAAACAAGGAATATACCAACTGATACAAAAAAAACCTTTGATAAAATCCCACTTTCATTGATGATTTTTTTAAAAAGAATAAAAAGCAAGGTATACGGAGATTTTTCTTCAACACACACACATCTACATAAGTTAAGAGAAAATATTATGCAATACAGAAATATTAAAAGAGCAGGTACAAAACAAAGATATCCACTTATACTTCTCTTACTTGACTCAGTACTGGAAAATCCAAAATTGTTATGACAATAAAAAATTATTAAAGAGATTAGCATTGGAAATGAAAAGCTCAAAGAATAATTAATATCCAATGATATGAGTTTATCTAAAAAATCCAAAATGTCTCAACCAAAATAGTAAGAGATAAATGAACTCAATCTCCCAGAATACAAGATTAACCAGCAAAAAAAATTTACATACTTATTTACCAGTATAAAAATCAATAAATCATAAACTCCATTTACAACAAAAAAAATCATAAATTTGTAAACTAATCTACCTAAAAATACAAAGAACCTATATATATAAGGACAACCACAAAATTATGATGACAAATATAAAAAGACCTAAATAATAAAAGAGAAATTCAATGGTCATGCATAAATTAGATTAATATAATAAAAATGACAATACTCTCCAAATTATCATATATTTAATGCAATCTCAATCAAAACACCAAAGGGTTTCTTTACAGGACTCTATAATACCATTATGAAATTTATATGGAAAAACCAACGGGAAAAAGTATCACAGGAGTGTTACATACAGTCACTCAGGTGGTTTTGCTAACTGCTTTTCTGTTACAAGGGAGACTCTCACCAGAAAGCAGTGGTACACAGTAGGTCTGGAAATGTAAATATAAAAGATATCACCAAAAAACAAGTTTTTGAATGTAAGGTATTTGTCTCAATTTTTAAAAAAAATCAAGGTGCACGCTGGCAAAAAAGATGTGAAGGTGGTCCTGTACTCTCAGACGTTAAACAATACAAAGTATTTATCATCAAACCTTTGGAGAAAACAAGAGAGGTAGAGTGAGAAAAAGAATGAGAGAGAGCTACATTCAATAAACTTTCCACCACGATGTGTTATGTAAACATCAAAGTATTACCTCATCAATACATGGTCTAAATAAGCCCCCCAAAAATGTAAAGGAACATTATTTATCAAATGTACTTGGAAGAAAATTGGTTGACAATATGGCAACAAATTTATTTCCATCCACCTACATATATACCTCAGTGAATTCCAAGTGGATGATAAACATTTTTTTAATCATGTAAAGATAAAATAGAATGGAATAATATATTTCTGCCAGTTACAGAGGGGAAGCTTTTTTCCTCCCACTCAATCATTAGAAGGAATTATTTTGACAATATAGATGGGTATGAATCTATCAAAATAAAATTTTATATGACAACATACACATAATTAAAAGAAAAGTGAAACTAACAAATTAAAATTTTTAAAATTATAAAAATACAACAATAACCTGAAATATAATATTATAATATAAAATATAATAAACTGCTGAAAATTCGCAAAGGTAACTGGCAATCCACAACAATTAAAAAGTCAAAGAATATGAATAGAATATTTCCAGAAAAAGATACATAAGATGTTAATAACTTGAAAAAATGTTCAATTTGACTAAAATTGGAGAGAAAAAACTTAAACAACTTTGAGGTACCACCTCATATTCAGTCAATTGACAAAAATAATTTAAAATAAAGTTTTTTGGAGAATAATCCAGAAGCAGATAAGAAAAGTCCAAAATCCATACCCTTTAACCCCAAAATCCACTGTTCAGAATATAAACAAACTGTCCTCAAATACCTCTCTCCCAAAAAAAAGAGCTATTTATTGAAGTATTTTCAAAACAATATTTTTAACTAAAAAAATTAAATGACAGGAGAATAGTTAAATAAAATTGTGGACCATTAATTGAATGGCCATATAGTCCATTCCAGAGTGAAATTAAAACTGACAGGTATAAGCACTACAAAGAAAATTGCAAATGCTACTCTGAATAATTAAATTTTTTAAAAAGCAGAAATAGAATAGAATCAACCCAATAACTACTTAAGATGAAAATTAAATGAGAATGAATAGACAAAGGACACTGAAGGAGACTGAAGTGGGAGTGGCTAAAAAGTTAATGTTTGATGTGTTATAATACATTTAAAAATACACATTTATTATACAAGTTAAATTAGATATACTGATATTCATTATTAAATTTCTAAAAAAAATTTTGAATGACTTTAAACTATCATTAAAACATACTGTAATGCAGGGTTATTGTTGTTTTTAAAACATTAAATAGACAAAATTTCAATCACCTCTCACCATTCTAATCCTGGGAGGTAGGAAGGGCAAAAAAATGTTGATTCTTTCCCATCCCCAAACGGAAAGGTTGAGCAAATGACTGGTTGGCTTCTAAACAATATGACTTAGTGCAAAGAGGGGAACCAGAACTGAGAAACTTGGGCCTCACTGTCATCATCTCAAAGCTGAAACTCTTGCTCCAGGGTCCCACCAACCCAATCCAAACTTCAAATCCTTTGGATTTGTTCTCTGAAGCTTAGATTCAGTCAAAGGGCTGCAGCTGGGGACCTAGAATACCACATGTGGCCTGAAGGCCACAGGTTCGCACTTCTGCATAGGGTCTAAAACTAGTTCAGGGTCCCCAGTGTCCAACACAGGCACCATGGAGAGTGATCTGGCTTCATAACCAGACAGAACTAGCCTCAAGTCCCATCTCTGAAACATACTGGCTGTGTAACCCTGGGCAAGTCACTTAGCCTCTCAATGCTTTAGACCAAAGGCATCAAACACATATAAACATGTATGGTTTTCTAAGTCGATTTGAGGATCACAGGGATACTTATATACTTTTTAGTGGCCCTTTTTCTATTTGAGTTTGATACCACTACTCAAGACAACACTAAGACTCTAAATTGCAAGAAAGGTGCCAATTTACACTGGTAGAAGTTACTCAACAAGAACTCCCTATACCAGTAAAAATACAGGTCCAGTGCTCATTCCCATGCCATAGGTATGTGTTAGGTTTAATTTTGTACAAAATGCACAATTTCTAAAACACCATGTTCTAATAGATTAGATGATGCCTTCAATTGACAGAAAAGTAATGTCTTGCCTTATTTTTTTTTCTGGATCCATAAGGTGCCACTATGTTCAAAATTCAAAGCTGCCCAAACATCTGCCACTAGTATTTGAGGACTTGAGCCAATGCAATTTCCTGAACTATAAAAAGTATTTAAGAAACTCTACAAATTACTAGTGGAACCACTAGCCAGCCTCCAGCTTCTTTCTTGGGGTATAAGTTCCCACACTGGGTTAGCATAACAATATAGCATGAGGCATGAATGGAACTAGTCGATGCTCTCATACTAGCTAAGGATAACTAAGGCTGAATAATTTGAAGCTTGTCTAATAACTCAGAAAAGTGTTATGAAAATTAATCATTTTATAGGCTTTACTGCCCAAAGTTTCTCAGAAGAGAAGCAAAGTAAAAAAGTAATTATAGACATAAACAATCACGAGCTAAAGCCATTTCCTTGTAACTTAGAGACTACAGTTGATATTTTCCTTTGCATTTGGCCTGCATTTATATAAAACCAAGAAAAAGATAAGGCTTACTAACATACTAGCATTCTGTTCTGAGTAAAAGTATACTAAAAAGTATACTATTCTGAGTAAAAGAATACTTACCCACTTTCAGATGCACTCACTACATACTGCCGGTCACTAGAAGCACAAGCTTTGGACAAACAAGTAATGGAAGCTGTATGGCCAAACAAGAGAGCCCGAGGGTTAATCTAGAATTTAAAAAATAATAATGAAACATCTGTATATGAAGAAATATAGAGGAGCTAATCTCTTAAAAATTTTTAAAAGGTTTAAACTATGAACACATCAAGACATTTGGTTAAAATTATGGTTAATGTTGAAAGCTCCTTATGAGACAGAAAAAGAATTAGTTAAGACTGATTTATAACATTAATAAAATCTATGTGACTAAACAGAAGACTATCAAAGCCAAAGAGATGATAGCCAGGGACCTCTCAAGTCAGCTTCATGATCTTAAATCAATTTTCTCAGCTTCATACACTTCCAGGAAAAAAAAAAGAATAGAAAAGGAGGAAATTTATAATATAATGTTCAAAGAAGTAGAAAAACATCAAGACAATACTGCATTCATTAACTTTGTAAAAACATATACCCATCCACAAATCTAAATTTGACAGTTAAGTAAGAAGCTTTATTTGATGGTAGAGGGTTCAGTGGATAGAGCGCTGACCCTGGTGTCTGGAGGACCTGAGTTCAAATTCAGCCTCAGACACATAACACTCACTAGCTATGTGACTCTAGGCAAGTCACTTAACCCCGATCGCCTCACCAAAAAACAAAGAGTCTTCCTGGAACTTATAATCAAGAAGGCCAAAGACTTGATTAGACTACATTTCTAATGCACTGGCAAATTCTTCCAGTTCAATATGTGACAAAAATGGGAAAAAATGTTAGCTAACAGTTTAAGGGATGTGTCTTATAAGCATAAACATGAGAGATCTTGCTACATTGATTAGCAGAGCTAGCACAAAGTGAGGCTCCCAAACCAGATGACTGAAGCACATACATCCATATAAACAAGAGTAAACCTAAGTCAAATATATAGTATCAAAGAAGCAGGAATTTTTACCAGATTCTACTACTTAATATAGCATAATGTCCAATGATGTCAGCATAAGATAAAGTGGGAAAAGCACTAGAATAGGAATCCAGACACCTAGCTCCCTTATTCTAGCTCCTCTATCAATTAGTTCAATCAAAATGGGAAAGATACTATACCTCCCTGGGCCTTAGTCTCAGGCCACAAGCATTTATCAAAAGCCTACTGTGTGCCCAGCATTGTGCTAGGCAATGGGGATACAAAGACCGTCAAAAGATAGTCTCTGCTCTCAAGGACCTCCCTCTCAATAATAATTTTATTACCAATAATTATAATAACAACAACAATAAAAGGGGGGAAGGAAAGAAGGGTTAAGCTAAATGATCTCCAAGGTGCCTTATACCTCTAAAACTCAATGAATTCCAAAAAGGTGAGTGTAACGAGAAGCTCTCCAATAAATGATAGCTCTACACCAATACCAAACTATCAGTAAAACTCAAGATTCCCACAGTGCTGATAGTAGACTTTTTTTAGGCTGTAAAATTGTTACTTGCCCAAAATGTCAAATGTAAATGATAACTGTCGCCAATCCATTCACCAAAATTTCCCATTTGTTTTTCATCTTATAAGCAGCATGGTATAGTGGATAGAAAGCCAATCTTAGAGCCAGGAGGACCTGAATTCAAGTCCCACTTATGACATACTGTCCACATGACCATGGGCTAACCACTTAGATGTTCCAAGACTAAGGTATAGAGAAGGTGCTGACCTGTAAATGGCACAAGCTTTCTCTCCCTCATTTCCCACCTGGCTACACTGCTTTCAGACCTCTCTGACTTTGGCATTATACCCCCATGGCAGGTACCTTTCCCTTTCCCCTCCTTTGGCTTCCTTTTGTATACTGTAAGCTCCTGCAGTGCAGGGACTGTCTTTCTTGTTTTCATATTTGTATCCTCAGCACCTAGCACACTGCCCAGAACATGGTCAGTGTTTAATGTTTACTGACTGACTGACTGACTCCCCAAGCTTCCTATACCAGTGAATTCGAAGGTTCAGGCCCTATCTCTATTTTTAATTTTACATTAAACATTTCATTCATTTTCTAAGAATGTCATGTCAACATTATATAAGTTTCTACTTATATTTGTAGGGCCTGGGCACTATTGATTTCATTGTTACAGGGAATATCTAAAGAGTAAACACCCTAGAGGACTATAAAGTAGCACCTTCTCAGCAACTTACAATCTTAGAAAGTTTAAGTGATTTGCCCTCAAGTCATGCCAGCATTATACCACTGAGGTAGCACCTGAACCATCTTGACTCAACGCTTTCATTCTATTCGCTATACAAAGCTGTCTCTCACTTCTACTGTATAGACAAAGGTTGTATGTTTTTCCTTACCATTGAAAGAGTTAATTACACATTAAATTTTGGAGAAAAGAATAATAATATAGAATCAAGGAAAAGGTAGACATAAAGATAATTATATATAAAAAAAAATGTACCTGATTGGAGTTGTGAACTGATCCCACCATTCGGGACAGCAATTCTGAACTATGTCTAAAGGTCTAAAACACTGTGCTGGGTATCTCTGATCCATTTATACAGCTGCTAGGTCTATATCCCAAAGACATCAAAAAAAAAAAAAGGGAAAAGGACCTATTTATACAAAAATATTTATAGTAGCTCTTTTTGTGGTGTCTAAGAATTGGAAATTGGGGCAGCTAGGTGGTGCAGTGAATATAGCACTGGTCCTGAAGTCAGGAGGACCAGAGTTCAAATCTGGCCTCAAACACTTGGCACTTACTAGCCGTGTGACCTGAGCAAGTCACTTAACCCCAATTGCCTCACCAATAAATAAATTAAAAAAAAAAAAGAATTGGAAATTGAAGGAATGCCCACCAATTGGGGAATGGCTAAACAAGCTGTGGAATATGATTATGATGGAATATTATTGTGCTACAAGAAATGACAAGCAGGATAATTTTAGAAAAACCTGGAAAGACTGAATGAACTGATGAATTTAATGATCTGAAGTGAGCAGAACCAGTAAGTAGTACATTGTATACAGTAACAGCAATATTGTACAGTGAAGAACTGTGAATGACTTAACTATTCTCAGCAATACAATGATTCAAGACAATCCCAAAGGATTCATGATGAAGCATGCTGTCCTCCTCCAGAGGTAAGACTGATACTGTCTGAATACAAACTGAAGCATGCTAATTTTCACTTTCTTTCTTTCTTTGATTCTTTTTTTTATTTGAGTCTTCTTGTACAAAATAACTAATACAGAAATGTTTTACAGGACTGAACATGTATAAACTATATCAGATTGCAGGGAAGGTGAAGAAGCAAAAGGAAGGGATGGAATTTAGAACTCAAAACTTTTAAAAAATATTTTAAAATCAATTAGGGAAAAAATAAAAGTATTCTTTAAAAAAATGCCAGCTCAAAAAAAAAAAATTAAAAAGGTACCTGAAAGATCATAACCTAACTCCCCTCATTTTACAGTTGAAAAAAACTGAAATCTAAACTGAGAACTGACGTGTGCAATATTATACAGCTAGTTCACAATAATCAAGAACTAGGGGATGTAACAACTCACTCTTACATATTGCTTTAAGGCAGTATTATTTACAGATGAGGAAAAAGAGGCAAAGAAATGAAGTCACAATGGTAGTTAAAAAAAAAAAGAACGTAAAACAGCCAGAATGCTCAATATTCCCAAAAAGGAAAAAAGCTTGAAATATGGCCAACATCTTCTCTAATGAATGTTAACTGAATTTTAAGTATCATATACAAAAACACAAAATAAAACTCCCTTCCTACATAAATGTGGATGCTCTCTCTTCCATCAATTCTGGCCCCAGAGTCCCTTTTGAGCTTGATAGTTTGCTGCTAATATCTGACACAGGAACATGTTACCCAGACCTTCTTGCACCAAGGTAGAGGAAATAAGCAATACTTAAAGCAGTGAAGTATCAAAGACTTGGGCATTACTCCCATGTCAAACACATTATTAGCTATGGGTGAGCCTGTGCCAGTCATCTCTCCTGAGATCAATTTTCTTAATAGTAAAATGGGGTTAAAAATACATTTAAATTTGCCTTACTTGGTTATTAGGAGAAACCAATGAAATAACATACATAAAGCACTTCAAAAACCTTAAAAGGCTATATAAATGTCATTTTTTAATTATGCTGATATAAATCAAATATCATGAGGATCTACTGTCTACTACTGCTTTTGAACTGTTTTACTGCCATAACAAAAACTCTTAAATAAAGATTATTAATTCTAATGTAGAGTGTTAACTCACTACAAACTCAATATGAATCAACAGTATGGCATAAATGCCTCACCAACAAATACAATGCTAGGCTTTGTTTAAAAAAAAAAAGACGTATTGAAATCAAACAAGTAAAGAATCCCAATGTACAGCGCACCAGACAATTCATAAAGAATGAATGAAGGGACTAGACGTATTTAACCTCAGAAAGAGAAAGATTTATCAGGGTATAACTATACTCAAATATCAGAAGAGATGGGATTAATAATAGCTAAGACTTACACAGCACTTTAAAGTTTGCCCTCTTTTCTTTTCTTTACATACTATCTCACTTAGAAATCATATCATCTCTGTGCAGATGATACCAAGACCTAATATCTCAAGCTCCAATCCTGCAAATAACAACTGACTGTTGGACATCTTGAACTGGATGTCTCAAAGACATTTCAAATTCAACATATCCTAAACAAAACTCCTTTCTTCTCCCTCCCCCAAACACCCACCTCTACCCAATATTTATTCCTATCAAGGACATCACCATCCTCCAAGTCACCTGACCTCACAACCTCAGGTATCCCTAATACCTCATTAGCATTAACCCCACACAGTCAATTCATGGCCAAATCTTGTCATTTCTACCTTGAGATCTCTCTTATAAGTTTCCTTCTCTCCAGCCTCCCCTCAGCTGTCAAAATGATTTTTCCTAAAGTATAGGTTTTGCCCCTGTTACTCAAACTCCATTTGTTCCCTATTACTTGTAAGATCAAATATAAAATCTTCTATGTGGCATTTAAAGACCTTCACAACCAGATCCCTCCTTACTTTTCCATTCTTTTTTTTTTTTGGTCAGGCAATGG